AAGAGAGGAAAAATCTCCAGGTCCAGGACTCAAATCACTGTCAGCCAAGTGGGAGTCCAATGTCCTTAACCACTGTACCACCGGCCAGCTCCACAGATTCGATATTTCTAATTGCAACTCAATAGCAGACTAAGACAACAGGTTAAGTCACTTGCCCAGAATCGTATAGCTAGTAGTGGAAGAGTTCATCTTCAAGCCAAAGCCATCTAGTTCTCAGAGATGTTCTTAAGAACATCTTAAGATTAACAGACTAATGTGATAGAAATAACTGGACAGCTCATAGATAACGTCTCAAATTTATTATTATTAGCAGTAGTAGTAATAGTACAGTATTCACAGTCTTCCTACATGTATATAAAATCCAATGGATTATCACTAATAAATTATCCCTTCTAGTCCTTTTACTAAATGTGAATTCTAAGAGTTGGGACACATTAGCCTAGAACATATTTGCCGTAAGTCTACACAACTACTTAAATTCTCCATATAGACCCCCCTACAACACTCTGTTAATCCCAAAGTACTCATAGTGTGAGGGCACTATTCAGTAATACTACTCAGTAATGTTAGAATTGTACCGTTCAGTTGTCTGGCTACTACTTCCAGGAAAACGCACATTTGGGAAGATACATTGGACAAACTGAAGATGGCTGACTTCAGATGATTTTGCTTCTCTCCAGTTGCCTCTTTACTTACTGCTCAGCTGTGATCCTTGCTCATCCCCAGATCTGAAGATCAGAGGAAATGATGATCGTATTTCCAATTAGAACAAATAGTAGCTATCTTGAGCTGTATCATTAATCCTTTCAGGGACATTTGTATTGTGTAACTTATTCTGTAGCCTAATGAGGCATAAAAGAAGAATCTCTTTCCTTTTCCTGCCTCTAAATGCAAGCCAAATAATTGCTCGTGCTGCTGGAGACTAAGGTTAATTTGAAGTAAAGACCTAGCTGGGGAAATTTTCACTTGTCTAAGCAGTAGAATCAAGTGTGTATAGACACTGTCATAAAACTGTCACCCGTGACTCTTATTTTTGCAGTGTGAACTTCTCTCTTATAATACCTTTTCTTGGTATGCACCTGCTGTTCAAGAGTGTTTGCCAAGAATTTTCCATTCTTTATGGACCAAGTTTTTTTTTTTATTCATTAAAATTATTCAGCATAGCGATTTTAGTATTTAATTCATTACCTTATCAATATCAAATGTACCAAAACTTCCATTATGTCTGGAGATTCAAAGATGACTGAGACACCATCTCTACCACTAAAGAGTCCAGAATATATTGGAGAAGACAAAGAATGTACATAAAATACAGAAAATGTAATAGTGATACTTCAGAGTTAGCATCATGAAGAATAAGAGATCATTTTCCTCCCTAGCGCCTAGCCTCTAGTGTTTCTTTTAAGCTCTTTCTAATACTAATCTTATTCCTCGATGTAGCTCCCCAAACACCTGAGGGATGCAACATATCCAATCAGTAATAGTGGTTTTGTGAGCTAAGGAATGCTCACTTGGGAGAATGTGTACCATTATCTCAGTTTGAGGGCCAATCTGTTTCGTGAAGAAATGTACCCAAGAGACTCTTCTGCACCCTTCACCTTTGAAGTATATTAAAAATTTGCCTTCTGATAAGAATCAGCTGGAGTGCTTGTTAAATACACACACAGGTTTCTGAGCCCTTCCTCTGGAGGGTCTAAAGTGTGCTATAAACTTACTAATCTTTTTCTCCAATCAAAAGGATATGCATGTTTTTTTCTTCCCATTCTGTTTAGAATAGGATTAGAAAAGAACCCTCTCATCAGCATTCTTAGACACAGAAAGTGTTTTCTGGGCTGTTGCTAGGTGCTTTAGATAATTACTCTGCCAGTCTCCGTGGGAACCCTCTCAGTTGGTTTGCTTTGTCTGCATCCAAATTATTGATTTTGGATCAAATTGTAAAATGCAAAAATGAAAGAATATGATTATCAAAAGTGACTGAATAAAAAATAGAATACAGACTTATGCCAGAAAACTATAAAGGGAATGAGGATAAACTTAATCCCATAGTGCTACCAGGGTAGATGTACTCAGCTTTTAGCCAAATTGTATATTAGGAGAATCTTGACAGATCATCCTAAAGTCTTTCATAACACACTTCTTACTAAGTGGTATCTTCCCTTTCCAATACTCAAAATACCTGTGGTGTGTTCTTCATTTCCTAATCACAACTGACTCTAAAAGAAAAATCCTATGTTTAATGTTAGGGACATATATCGGAAAACCACTTCCATGAGAAACAAATAATTCTAGTCATATTTGCAAAACTGTCAAGAGTCAAAAAGCACTTGAATTGTTTGCTTTTATTCTATAAGAGTGAGGCATTCTAATGCACTGAAATCATACAATGTAAGGTGGGTTTACAACCATGACCATGTAAGCAATCAGATTCTTTTGGAGATTTTAAGGACTGGTGATTACATTTAAAAAATTATAAATCTAGTGCTAAGAATGTATAAATGAAAATTAACAATACTTTTACAATAGAAAGTAACAGACAGACAGGTTGATAAATAGAACTACATATATTCAATGTACTGGGTCATCAGAAAAGTCATGATGTATTTTTCATAGAAAAACAGAAGAAAGATGTCATGACTTTTTTGATGACCCTATATATTTAATAAAGGTGAAAAGTAAATATTTAAAATCAAAACAGATGAAATATGCTTCTAACTCAGATAATCTAGTTTATATCACTGGCAAGATAAGTCTATGTAGTTCTTCTGCTGTCATACTCTTGTAGAAACTTAGAGTAGGGGAAATACGATCACAAGAAGATGGTGCCTGGCTTTAACTTGGAAGCTCTGGAGATGAGTTTCAGAATTAGAGCTGGAGAAAATAACATAGAAAAAAATGAGAAGCAACAAAGATTAATCCTCAGCAGGAGGGCATAGAGAAGAAAAGAAGGAAAGGAGAAAGGAGAGAAAGTGACAATGCTAAAAATAAAAATGCTTTGTTAAAAAATTGAAAAAATATTCCATTTTTTGTTTATTTTCATTACTTCACTGAAATTATCTCCATCTTCACAAATTTTTGAGAAACTATTCAAGGCTAAATCCACCAAAATGCCTCATGGGAATGTTTTTGCTTTTGTCATCTTAGTGGAAAATAGAAGAAAGGGGTCAGAGTCCATGTATATATTATGGAATGAGGGCGGAATACTTGGTAAAAGAGGATAATCCAAACACTGAGTTGTTTGATCAGAAGCAAGATCTTCAAACCAGAGGGGACCGGGATGACACAGACATCACTCCCATTAGTACAACCACTCAGTCGTATGTATATATAGAGAGAATTTCTGTCACTTTTCATAGGATGAAGGTAAAGCCAACCTCATTTTAAACTCAAAAGTCAACTCACACATGAGCTACACGTGTGCCATGAAGTTGGTACACAGTATACAAGCAGACTTCAAAAAGCTTGTAGAAAATGAAATTAAAGTATAAGTTTATTGTGGTGTAAAATATTGAAAGTCTTGCATAGTGTTTGCACCATACACATTTTCTATAAGCTTTTTGAAGATACCCTGCATATAATAGAGCTTTTAAAATATTATATATATTTTAATATATCTAAATATGAGATAAAACTAAAATATCTAAATACGTCTATGGGATAAAATTAAATATCTAAATATAACTAAATAATAGAGATTAGTATTTGTTCTTGTTGATGGTAGCATTTGGTCATTATCATTTTATTCTAAGTTATCTTTTGAATTCTACTAGGAAACAGAGTAGACCGATCTACAGAAAGGAAGCAGGCAAAAACTTCCAATAGAACTCTACATATTGAAAAATTAAAGCATCCTGCACTCCAATGTCCTACTTGACTCTAAAGTGAAAATTTATGTCATAATATTTGGTGAAGAAACTGAGTACATATGACTTAGGTGCTACCTCATTCCCTTTGTGCATACTCTCCCCCATGGAATGTGAATTGTACTCTGTTCCTGTACCCTTGAGGTGAGACACATAGGTCAGGACCAAGATATTTCTTCCAGATGGAGGTCTGTAGGCTTGTCTCTCTTAGTCACCAATAACAGGGCTCAATAGATGCAGGATAACAACACTAAGTAAGTAAACTTAGTTGGCAGGTCTAATATTTTTTGGTTAGGTTTTTGCCATTGTGCACATGTGCTTGCCAGAGAAAGAGAGAGAGAAACTGAGAAATCACCCTCCATGGAGCATCTGAGAAATCACCCTCCATGGAGCATGGTCATGCTGCCATTGTTCCTCCTCCATTATCCTCTGGGATCTTGGGCACATACACATGCTTCTCAGTATGAGTTCCAAACCACTGAGTCTGGGACTTGAACCACCGTGGACCATGTTGGAGTCCAGCACCTTAACCACCTTGCCACCTACTGGCCCCAGCAGATCGAATTTCTTCAGCTAAGTTGTTCTGATGGGATAAAGGTTGCAGAAATCCCAGTTGTGGCCATAAACCCCCATTTATGTTTACTCATCAGGAGCACCACATTTTGATCCCTGTTCATTTTACTCTTGGTAATTTTCTCATTTGATTCCAAACTTGAACTAGGGTCAAAATATGCATGATTCATTACCTCCCTAAAACCCCAACAGTATAATATATTCCCAGTAAGAATTATGCTTCAACTAAAACAGAAGTAATCAGGTAATTGATGGTGATTGCCTTGAAGCTATGTCTTGGATGCCATTTCTAAAAAGGAAGCCAATTTTCTAAAAATCCATGTTAAATGTTGTACACAATTGATTCTGTATGTCATTAAGCCAAGGAGGATATTACTTACAGGGTTATTCATTTTTATTTTACTTTAATGAATGTTAAGAAGCTCTAAATCGCTTATAACAATTAAGACAATTAACTTTGCATGCAACTGCAAAGTTGGAAACTCACTATGCTCTCAGTTTCTGATATTTTCTTCTTTTATTAAAATTCACTTTGATAAACCACAAACCAGAACAGCAGTGTATTTGGTCCCCTTGTTTTATACATTGCGTGTGTTCTTGTTGGATTTTACAATAGTTTCCTTTTCAGATTTTCTGGGGAAAGAAAGAAACAATAACCCTTTATATATTTCCCAAGGCTAAAGTATTTTAATGAATTCTTACTACTGTAAAGTTTTAAGTTTTGGTTTTTCACTTTGAGTTTATTTTATTGAATGTTCCAATTGATAACAAAAACAAAAAACAAAAAGCTGAATGTGGAGTATTTTAGTTAATATCAATAATGTTTGAATGAGTATACGTGTATTTTGGGGATACGTTCAAAATATTTCACATACTGATTGGTGAATCTATCAGTCTGAAATATATGGGGTGAAAGATAATGAAGTGGAAACTAAACACACTAGGATTTGTTAAGCCCTCAAGTTTCAAGTCCTTCATAAGATATGACTCATTTAGTCTCCACAATGGCCTTATTACAGTGTTCTCACGATTCCACCTTAAAAAAAAAAAAGAGTGCTCATACAAACTAAATGCTTTTCAAATTCACATGACTTAAAAGCTTTGACAAATAAGCTGGCTTGAAATATGGTATTTTAAAAAAGAAAGAGTTTACAGTTAAGTCAAGTATTTAAACTTTTTACTATCTTTGACAAGGTTTCCCCAAAAATCAAATTCTAAAATTTAGTTTTTTCGACCTCAAAGTAACTTATGGATGTTTACAGAGGGCCCTAAAACATCCAAAAGATAAATATTAGAACCAATCATCAGGCTTATTTTGATGTTTCAAATAATATGTTAATATTGTCAAATTGAGTGATTTTAATTTTCTTTATCTTACATTTGAGTTATATGTATGAATATGTTATGTGAACATTTGCATGTGTGTATGTCAGATATATCCAAATTTGTCAGTTGTGAATTCTTGTCAGATCTGTAACTACGGTTGGTTCGAGTCTTGTTGTCTATGGTTAACTGTTTTATTTGTTGCCTTTCTAGAAACTTTTTGCAAATGACTGTAATTGTAAAGTATCATGTCTTTAAGGAAATTCATAAAGAGGATGGAAAGAGGATGTACTCTTAAAAGTACAGGCTTATAATCTAATCATTAAATTTGGTTTAAAAAAATCATGCTATGTAAGGATCATTTGGGCAACTTGGTAAAAAGGCAGATCACAGGATCTACTAAGCCAAGATTCTGATCCAGTAGATCTTGCAGGATTCCAGGCATTTATATTTTTAATATTCTTCCCCAGAAGACTCTGAAGTATGTAGCATGTAGAAAAAACACACTGAGGAAAATTATCTATTACTAGTGATGCTGAGCATTTCTTCATATGCTTGTTGGCTATTTTTTTATCCCATTATCTCATTTTGAGATGCTTTTTTTTTTTAGAGGTTTTTGCTATAGGGTGTGTGCGCTCACCAGAAAGAAGAGAGAGACAGAGAGACAGAAAGCGAGAAATCACCCCCCAGGAGGGATGGCCACGCTACAATACCTCCTCCTCAATTCTCTTCTTGGAATTTTGGGCACACATGCACACGCACTCGGCATGAGTTTAAGCCACTGGGTCCAGGACTCAAACCACAGTCAACTACGTGGGAATTCAGCAACATAGCCATTACACTAACTGCTGGTCCCAAGGTGCTTTGATCTAGGTAATTTGCCCATTCTTTAATCAAGGTATTGCTTTTTAAACTTTTTTGGTGCCAAGTTGTTTGAGTTCCTTGTTCTAGTTATTAATCCTTTGAAATATGGTTTGCAAATATTTCCTCTCGATTCTGCAGGCTGTCACTGCTCTGTTCATTGTGTCCTTTGCTTTGAAGAAGCTTTCTCATTTTATATAATCCCACTGTCTACTTTTATTTTCTCTGCTTTAAGGTTTTATTCAAAAACTCTTTGTCCATACCAAAGTCCTAAAGTGTTTTTTTCGTTGTTTTCTTCTAGTATTTCATAGTTTTGGGTTTTATTTTTAAGTCTTTAATCCATTTCAAGATCATTTTTTGTATATGGTAAGATATATGGGTCTGGTTTCATTATTCTGCATACAGAAATCTGGTTTTCCCACTACCATTTATTCAAGAGATGATGTTTTCTCCTGTGGATGTTCTCAGCACTTTTGTCAAAAATTAACTGACTATATATTTGTGAATTTATTTCTGGATTCTCTGTTCTGGTCTATTTGTCTGTTTCTGTTCAGTCAGTTCTTTTTTTTTTCCTGTTTTTGTATTTCTTGCCAGTACCATGTTTTTTTGGTTATTATTGGAAGAGCCATGCTCTATGAGTAATTGCTGGGGCCAGCAAATGCCCTGGTAGTTGAGGCACTGGTCTCCCACATGACCAACCATGGTTCAAGTCCCAGACCTGATGGCTTCCTTTCTTACTTTCTCTCTCTTTTCTCTTCTCTCTTCTCTTTAGTGAGCATATGTGCCTGATAGCAAATAATAAATAAATAAATACATAAATACATAAAATTAAAAAGAGTAATTGTCCATGTCTTAGCAATAAGGAATACACTAAGGATAAAGGAAAAGTGCAATAATTCCATCCTAATAAAGACTAAAAGCAAGCCTCAGCAAAATCAAGATAATTCTTCAGTAATCAAATGCTTACCAGAACAAAACTTAGCTCTCTTTAAAGGATAATAACATAATTTTAAGTCTCTATAATTTATCACCTGCCATGTCCAGCATTTAAAATACAAACTTACCAGACAAGCAAAGGAAGAAGAAACAGTAAACAGTAATCTAGAGATAAAACAATTAATGAAAAAGACTGAGATTTTGCAGATATTGGAGTTAGCAGATAAGGTCTTTAAAATAACTATGACTAATATGCTAAATAATATATAAAAATAGATGGACAAAGTAGGGTAAAGCTGAAGTATTTTCATACAATATTAGAAAAAAAAAGAGGACTCACATTGGTATTCAAGATCTACAAAACATAATAACTGAGATGAAAAACTCACTGGATAATTAAAGACCAACTAGAAATAGTGAACTAGAAAACTATCCAATAGAATAACATCCTAACTGAAGAACATAGAGAAAAAATAAGAACCTGAAAAATGTATAAGACCCATATGAAACATTATCAGAAGGCCTACAAAACTAATTGGAATTCCAGAAGAAGAGGAGGTGTTTTGTGTTTTAATAAAAGTTAGCTGAGAAATCTTCAAATCTGATAAAAAAAAAATAGCTACCCAGGAACTAGACATATTCAGCAAAGTCAATGAAGAATTTAAAAACAAACAAACAAACACGTAGGTGCAGTGTAGACAAATAACTGTAGTACCACAAAAGAGGAAACATCACATTTAGCCAGGGAAGGAACTGTATTAGCTCCAAAGGAGCCACAGTGAACACGACAGTAGGTCTTTACATAGAGCTATGGAAGTTTCTTTAAAAGAAAAAAGAAAAAGAACCACCAAACTGGAAGTCTACTTCCATAAAATGCCCTTAAATAAAAAAGACAAAAACAATAAAAGTAAAAATGAACAAAAACTGAAGGTAAAAGACAACACTTGAAAGAAATTTATTGTCAGCCAATTTGTGTGGAAGAAATTAGCTCATAGAAGTACAGACATAGAAGAATGAATGATGAACAACAGAATAGGGTGAAGACTTAGTGCTATTCTGTAACTTTCTCAAATGAAGTAGCATTCAATCAATGCATTTTCCCAAAAGATTTGCTATGTCATCAAGTCAAGGGAAATATTACTGAAATATATCCAGAAATTTTAATTCATGTCTTTATATCAATTTTTAAAACTCTGTTGTTTTATTATAGCCATTGTTAGTAATAAGATGAAATATATCATAACATTCATTTAACCCAACATATTGATTATATGTCATATAAATCAGAATCTAGTCTACTAATTTCCAGTGTTTGTCTTAGTTGTCTCAAGGAGTGTTATATAAAGCAGCAAGTTCTCACAACAGACATATTGTGGCATGTAGTCTGAGATTAACAAGGAATGAAATTCAGTGAGCAATTATAGTTTCATTTTGTAAACCATAAGCATTGATTGTGTGCCCACTGAGGGAAAAGTATCAGTAGTTCCTTCTAAAACTACTTTTCTACTTTTTTAAATAGAAATACAAAAGACAGAGGCAGTGGTCCACCCTTAGCCAGCTAGAGATATAATGAAGAAAGATCAAAGAAGGAAAATAGTTGAGAGTTATTATAGAACGTTTTTTTCCCAACTTTCCTATTCATGTATCATTTATTGACGATTGATGGTGTACTTGGTGGCTGTCCTAAGTGCTAGGAAAATAAATACTAAATCAATGAAGTTCACTTTCAAGAATTTATAGTCAAATAGGAAAAGAGAGAAAATACAAACACATATAAAAGCAATGAGGTGTTCTAAATGACATAATAGAAATCTAGAAGGTGATAGTATGACACTGAGGGAAAAATGAGCCATTCAACCTGGGGTGTGTCAGAAAAGTGTTCATAGGGGAAGTGGCATGAGTTCTAAAATTTGAAAGATGAGAGGCCATTTGCCAATGACCACCAAGGAGAAAAACAAGTCAGGCAGAAGATGCAAAGAAAGGCATGGGTTAGAAAAATAGTATCACTAATTTGGGGATGGATCTAACACTGTGGGAGCTGAAACATGGTTAACAGGGATGTCTGCACTCGGAGGCAGAAATTGAAAGACTGGAAGATATCAAAATAAGATGAACAACTGTAGACACTAGTGACATGGTGGGGGGGTGGGAAATAGGGGCAAGGAGGGAGGGAATAGCAGGGCATAGAGAGAAGCAAACATTTCACAGACACAAAAATGGGAAGTTACCTAGTGATGATAATGTATATGGTAATAACTTCGACTGAACCAATGTGCAATATATTTGTGCTGGGAGAAATTAATTAATTAATACTTTTTAAAAAGGGATGCTGTAGAAGTCCACAGAGGAGAGATTACTGAATATATTCTATGCCACGTTTGAAATATAGGGCCTATTTTTATGGAGAATACTAGTATTACACAGTACAAACCTTCTTCCGAAGGAGTAGTAACTGCAGCCAATCTCCACCAGAGCTGCACTGCCTAATATGGTAGCCATAGCCACCTGTCACT